TGTATGAGACATAGTTTGGTTGCACTTGTGTAATCTGAGATTTTGGACCCAGGTCAATGAAAGTAGAGTACATATTAATTCATTTGTTTGCAGATGTTCCATGTATTATTTTAACACTAGTATTTTATAATTAAATAACTGGGACTGTGACATTCATGTCTTGTTATTTTCAATTTTAGATATACTTATGGTCAGCCTGTACATGGTAGTGTACATGCCAAAGTCTGTATCTCACCGTCATACTCGTATTATAGACTTGATAGACCATGTGCTGAAACTGAGAAAAAAGTAAGTAAAAATCCTAGACTTGAAATTTATGCCTAGAATCTATGCCTTTTCTGAGGTATTTGTAGCTCTGCAGTATGCTGAGCATGAATGCTGAGTGAGCGAGTGCGAGCACATGCAGCTACATATTGCCCTCAAAAAAATTGTGAGGTGCTGGTTTTCCAATTGAGAAGCATCAACCATGTTTTATGCCTTATTGTTTTAAAATTGTAATTGGTGCATCTTTCAAAGCAATAATAGATGGTTGATATGTTTCCATAAACGTGACAATTATATACAACCATTTCATAGCTGTTTAAACTATAATTGTATTGTGTTACTAGGATACTGGTCCTGATGGCTGTGCTGATTTCTCCATTAGGGCTGATTCTGTTGAGTTAAAGTCTTCATACTACTCAATTTGGGGCAAAAAGTTGAATGTGACAGCGTCATTTACTGAAGAAAACACTGATATTACACTGAATGCTACTCATGACACCATTTCTATTCATCAATCCATTCGCGCTGATAATCAAAGCTCCAAAAAGTTTTAAACCAGGTGTTCCATTCTATGGAAAAGTGAAAGTTGAATATCCAGATGGTTCACCAGCAGATGGAAAACTGGTCAATCTGAAAATTGATACAAATAATGGGTATATTGTGGATAAGAATTTCACCTCCATTCAAGGTGTTATCAGATTCAGCATTCCAGATTTAGCAATTGACACTTCAAGGATGAACATTGAGGTAAGATGATCCTACTTTATTTAAAGGGCGAAAAGATGTCGCATTTCGCATGTTATAATTTCAAGTGAACAAATTCAGGCTACATGGCAGGTTGGTGAATGAAAGTGCCTGTCCCAATTGATGATGTATCTTAAACCCTAACAAGATACATTACGACTTGTTTGAAATAAAATTGTCATTCTTGGCACATCATTCCATAAATTATTAGGACTCCACCCCATATTGTCAGTTAGTAAAGGCTTGATATTTTTAGCATCTTAGAATTTTAGCATTATTAATTTTGACCCATGCTAAATTAGTAGTAAGAAAAGATTAGGCCATATCAAATTCTAAAGAAACCTGTTGAACATAATTTTCAAAATAATGTGCATGACTTAAAAAACTATTCATGGACAAGCATATTTCTGTTTTGAAAAATTACTCTCCAAGTTCTCAAAAACTAACATAAGTATGTCTACATCGGCCTTTTGGCAAAAATAAATATTATTTAAGCAGGGCTTAATATGAAGTCTGTGCTCCATCTTTTTGAAATTCTCTTCCAACCTCTACAAAATGTGATATTTGAGTCTGGACGTAAATTGCTTCTATTTCATCCCCAACATGTTGACAGCGGAGGATATAGTGCTTACCAGTGTGCGTCCATCAAACCGTCTGTATGCCTGTCATATCAGGAGCACTAGTGCAGATAGAAACATTCAGTGTTGAATACACTAATCAACATATTTAATAACCATATATGGTCATATGACCTCATTAAAAATGCATAATTACCATATCTGTAACAATGTTGCAGATATAGACATTCAACCAGTGCTTGTAAAAAAAATGGCAAGGGATATTCTATCTCTGATGTCTATTACAACATTTTATAATAAAATTATTTTTAGCTGCTCTGTCATCAAA